CCCCCCCCCCCCCCCCCAAACTTACATCTCTTGCGCCTGGGAGGTCAGTGGATGTTCGAGGCCAATTTCACTAGCTGATGCTGCTGCAAGGTTTAGATCTTTAGCCTGCGTCCAACAAGAAATCAGAGAAAGATTTTCAGACCAGTGAAGAAAGCTCTAGTTAAATAAATACATAAATTTTTAAATTTTTTTCAGAATCTGATTGTAGTAAAAAAGTGATCTTTGAAGAGTTTAAAAACACTAAAATACACCCTAATGAAGCCCTTGACGATATGAGCTCTTTAAATAATATTTCATTGAAAAGCACTACCATTATAAAAGCACAAGCACAAAACTGGCAAACCTCTCTTAAATTTAAGAGTACATACTACATAGACTTGTAATTTATCTTTTTTTGAGGAACAAAAACCCTTGCTCCAGAAAAAAGAGTATTTTCTCATCGATCCAAGCCATCATAGTTCCATACAAGAGAGCAGCTTAATTAGTGAAGACTGATGTTCAGCATAATTAATCAGGTCTCCAACGGTGTGGGGGCCAGTTTATTTTCTCCTTGTTCAAGAAAACAGATTGGAAATGGTTTTCAACATAAAAATGAAGCATCCTTCGAGCCATAAACTTACTAAAAAGCACTGAAGCATACGATTCCAGGGATATAAACAGGTTTGAATGACTAACCATAAGCTTTGATGCAAATCCACCATCATAATCACTCGCAGAGGGCACCTTCTCCATCACCCCAGGAACTGGATTGTAACTTTCACTTTGTATGCAATTATCCAACATTAATTTGCAGTAAGAAACCGAGTTTTAAAATGTATAAGGGCACAAAAAAGGGAGTCCAAGCACTGACTAAAGGAACGGACTTCAATCCTTGACGATTAAACCAACCTCAAATTACTCAGCATTCATCAGCTTTCATGAATAGAGAAGGTTTACCATGAGGAAAGAAATAACAATTTGATATTTTTATTCCTCCAAAACGCTATTAAACCAGGAACTTTAAATTTAAGATATATTTCAGTTCGTAATTTCACAGAAAAACTTCAATCATCCAATGCCTAGACTGATGATTAAAAAAACTATATGAATCAAAATAACAACATTAATTGTATATTCCACGCATGTCAGCAAACTTACTGCAACTGGGCCATCATGAAACAAATAAGAATTTTTTAAGTTGAATCTGCGGGGATGGAAATATTACTATGATCTCATTAGAGGAACATACATACCTACTCCAACAGCGAGCACTTGAAGAATTTAATACTTTGGTTAGAGTTTTTGCAGAAATCCCAAGAGACTGGCCTAGAGCCAAAGCTTCTGAAACACCAAGCATACTCACAGCCATTGCTAAGTTGTTGCAAATCTTTGCTGCCTATGATAGAACAATATTACAAGTATCAGAGTCGGGCAACAGATCCTCAGAGAATGACATTATACCACATGTTACAAAAGTTGAAATCAAACTTGATGGAAAATTAGGTAAAAAGACTGTAAATGATCGAGATGATCAAGGATAAAGAAAGCCACTGCAAGTTATACCATTTTAGTTGGTGGTTTGAAGTTTCATAGCTAACAAACTTCGATTTTCAAAAAATAAATGCGCATTACAACAAAAGAGAACATCTTTAGGCTGATCAAGTCTCCCTTAAATAGAGAGAACATGGCATCTACTGGTGGAGCTTTGACAAATAATGGCCATTTGTTGACTTTTCCAAACTACATATGTATAAATATACATTTTTATACCATGGAAGAGTCATTTTTGTTATCACGTTAAACTAGAAGCATTTGTTTTGTATTTAAGGCAATAAACGTTTGCAAAGCAAACAAGCCACCTATAACATTTTATTCAATAATCAAGTAATCATGAATCATGATGTGAGACCAAGCGCTCAACACTAGTTTTCTCACTTAATAAGCAACTGCAAAATACCTATATTTAGTATGTCATCAAGACCAAGCGCTGTAGCTACAATCATTTATAGAACTCACACCGGTTAAATCACCAGAGATCACAAACTTATAACAAAAGAAGAAATGAAACTTACCGAACCATTTCCAGCTCCACCACAATAAACTGAACTTTTGCCCATTGAAAGGAACAATGTTTTTGCAGCATTGTAAGATTCCTCAGGACCACCAACCTGAGGAGGATATGTTATCTTGTAGTCAGAAATTGACTAGGTTGAAAAAAGAATACGAAGTTGATAAAGAAAAATAACGAAGACGAGACAAACCTAGAGACTAAAATCCAATTAGAAATAAGATCCAAATTGTAAAAGCCACAAAAATTTTATGGCCATTGAAACAATTGTTCTCTTTTAAGCAGTTGCTTCCATTTCTGTTATTGAAAAAATAAAGCTACTTATTGTAATAACACTTAGAATTTCCCTCCTGCTTCATAAAAGGCTATTAAACCAGTCTCAAGTTTTGGTGTGATGTCCCACCCCCCTGGTTACAGAACTGCTATGTCATATAATTGTAATAGAAGCTGGTTTCTTAAAATAGAAGTAAGAAGAAGAGCTAGCAGCACAAACAATAAATGCACACATCCACGAACAGGAGGGGTAGACTAGTGTTCGACCAATCTACTGGTAAAAATTTACATAACTCTTCAGTTAGTTATCATAAAAGAAGAGGTGGCATTACTTTCATATTGAGAATCCCGAAAGTATAAAGATCAATTGTTCCCAAACTAGAAAATGTTTAGGTCAACAAAAAACTTCCTGTTAACTAACCAAATTTTCTATATAAATGAAAAATTGACCACACGATCCGCTCTTGGATGGCTGACACAAGAAGCCTCCTATTTAGAGGGGCAATAAACCAAAAACCTTCGACAGCTTCTCCCTGCGGTGAACCATTATTCATGTTCATTACTCTACTTTATCAGTCATGATATAACACCCAAATCAGATTATTTCAATGACAATACAAGAAAAAAGGGTTTATTACAAAGAAAATAGTGGAGCCATATTAAAACTGGAGTAGCAAAAGACTGTAAATTCAGAACCATTGAGTGCTAGCCAAGGCATCATGTTATCAATTTTTTCTTTGCCAATTGCATTGCCGTCATAAAAGATTACCACGTTCTACATCATGCAAGTTTCAGCAGGTCCAGGGGATTTGTCTAATGTCTCTATGTTCATTCCTTTCACACTTCAAGAACTTGTAAATTAATGAAACTAGATAAACATGACAATATTCCATACTATTTCCGTAAGCAGCATCTGCTTCTTTTGAATCAAAGTGGCAAAAAATTTCATCGAAATACAACACATACAAAGTTACAGAGGCTTAAAATGAAATCATACCATGAACGTAAGTGTCCCAGCATCAGCAGCTAGAACCCCTCCAGATACAGGGGCATCCAACATGACAGGGTTTTCCCAAGAATCTGAAAAATCAGTGACGAGATACAATGAATACACATAATTGCGGACTGAGAGATTAGGATTTTGTTTAATGATGGCTGGCTCGTTGAATTATTAGAAAATAGAAGCACAAATGATTACAATAAAGAACATAATATTATGGACTAAGAAAACAGAACATTATGAATTAAAAGAAAACAAATCAGATAGAAAATCAGTCATGGTGTCAGTGATTGTCATAAATATGCAACCTCTCTTCCATTTATTTCCTCGCCTTGCCTACTCAACTTGAAACCAACTCCTAATCTAAAAGTAAAAATAAGAACTCTCGATTATTGTTGTTAGGAATTAGGCCCTCAATTCTTTGATTCAAAACCAGGTACCTCTCTTTTCCTTTAAAATACGGCTGGATACAATTGCTGAAAGCTCTCTTGATGTTCGTGGATCAATGGTGGAGGAGTCTATTAATAACCACGGCCTTAGATGATAGCCACCATGAAGCAAACCATGTGAACCATTATACACTTCAAGCACCTACATGCACAAATTAGAATATTTATTGTTTTATAAAGTAGCTGACTATATAGACCACCATGGCACCAAGCGAATAAAAAGAATAATAAGGATGATATCTATCATTGAACTGATATATCTTTAAACTATTTCTTTGGCATTCAAAGTCGAATTCATTAAGCCTCTATCTTTCAAGCTATCTAACTCGCCTATTTTGTCTTGGATATGACGTTTGGAATCTTACTCTGCCAAACTCCTCCTTATTACACTTTTAGGAAGCACTTTAACCTTTATCCTCTCTATAAACATATAGCCCGACCAACCTTGGAAGAGCATAGAATTCCACCACAACTCAACTTTTGCTAAGAACTGCAAATGATCTAACCAAACATTTTCAAACCTAAAAAGGGGAGGGCCCATTTGTTGTTACCCGAATCTAGCCAACTCCACCACTCTGAAGTGATCAACCCAACCCTAGGAGACTAGAAATCTGTCTAATAAGCATGGCTAAAAGAGCACCTCTGATAGTAGGTTAAGTGAAGTTACCATTTTTCATGGTAATATCTACAAGAATCAAATCCTCAATAAGAGTATTAAACTGGAAAATGCTTCAGGTAATGCAGCACCCTCTCAAATTTTCAGAATCCATCTGACAACATTAAAATTCTCTCCTATACGCCAATGATTCATACTCAGGTCATAAAGATCACAAATCCCTTACCAAAACTTATCTCTACCCTTCGGTGTAGGACCATATAAGCCAGATAACTAACCGCTAAAACCATCAAAGCAAGCAATCTGAATGAAGATAAAGAAATCACCCAAAATTGAAATTGTCCTTCAGTGCCAATTGGACTATTAGATCCCAAGGTCTCAGAGTACCAAATTTTGATCACCAGGCAATTGATGCCATCATGAACTCTCCAAATATCCACTAGATTTGTCGAGGACCCATTTCCTTGCTTGTAAAAATGTTAGCCGCCTCTAGCAAAAAGCCTTTGTGGGCTCCGACTTCTTTTACAATCAGCCAGTTACCATCTTCAAAAATACAAACCTAAGCCAAGAAAGAAGTCCCCCTATCTAATAATTTAATTTCAGAAGGAAGAAAGTCACATTAGTTACCTTAAACCTTTCCTGCAAACTCAAAGCAAACAATGATCCAATAAATCAAATCAGAATAATCCAAAAAACCTCCAAAAGCATCTCCACAGCTTTAAATGTTTCCAGGCTCCAGAAGTGCAGGGGGATGTTTCTTAATTTAACCCAACTCTGTTAAGAAATGGCAACACTGGTTCGACCATGAATGAGGGGGCTCCAAGCTCTAACTTAATTGTCATAGGCCCAAAGGTGACCCACCCTTTATTGGTAACAAGAATACAAGCACACTCCACCAAAGGACATTTAAGGAGAGCTTTGTCAGGTTGAAAGGGATTTCAAGAACCTTACCCCAGCCATCGTGAAAGTCTCTTCGTGTAATCACTATGGTTTCTTCCCATTCAAGATGCCTCACATCTTCTCTGCTTGCTTCTTTTGTCGAGAAACCATGAGCCTCCCATACCTTCAAACTTCCATTTTTCCCATGTTTTTTTAACCATTTTTCAAAGCCTCTGCAAACGACACATTCTGAGAGATATATGGAGCCTTTTTCCTACCGATAGAGAAATCTTGTGGTCTGTCTTCTTCTAAAAAAAAAAAAAAAGTCACACAAAAGCGTTATGAAAACTGCCCAACCTTTGAAGTCTTTGTTATAAAGGATGACAATGTTTCTCTTGCCCCCTGAACTCTAGACTTTGGTCAACTCTACGAAGCTGGCTCTTCTGTTTGTCGTCCTTTGAAGCCAAATGAGGCTTCCGTTGTACTCCAATTTTCTAAAAAACTTTTGTGAGAGATGAGCACAGAGCAAGTCTTCCAGCGCGTCAACAATTGAGAGAACAACAATTTCTTTGATTGTAACTTCAAAGGAGCGTCTAATGTGTCATTCCATAATCTTGATGTACCTACCCTTTTTTTCTTGGACAAAAGAAATCGAGAAAACTTTATTTTCGAACTTCACCTTTTTTCTTTTCCATTTTTATCGATCCCTTGTCTATGAGAAAGTTGCATTACAAATATGATTTCCCATCAATGGTAGATTAGAGTGGTGAGAGACAACGAGGGACAAGATTTCACTTAGAGAGAGAGAGTACTTCATCTCCAACATCCACATGATGAATCATCTATCAATATAATATAATTCTTCCTCCCCTCTCATGGTAATTGCATATGTATATTATACATCTCATAATAATCATCCTGTACATACCTAGAAGTGCTTAAATAAACCTATCATAGAACATAATGTTCGGACTTGAATGAAGGAGAATATAGCATAAGGTCAAAGCATAAAACATGCAAGTCACAACTCACAACCTAATAAAATAAATAAATAGATACTGCAGGTAACATGATTAGACCCCTTCAGGAGGAAAGGGAGAAAAAATAGGTCATAACTCACATGAGAAGGAGAGGGTAGCATTGTAATGACAACGTCAGAAGCTTCGGCAACTTCAAAAGGCGTTTCTTTGGTGGCAACTCCCATATCTGAGTACTTCTCCATGGTATTCCGGTTTCTAATAGAAAAGAATATGATGCCACAGTTAATGTGAGTAAAACCACTCTCAATTTTTTAATCAAAAAGTAGCAAAATGTTTTCCACAGAAAAATATATCAGATGCAATTCACCAAATCCATGCTTGTTTCCTACTGTATTCACTTCCGTCCAATCATGAGAACTTGTTTTTTGGAGCTTTTGCAAAGAAATTAAAACAAATTTCTGAAATAAAAGGACAGTTTATCAAAATCTTTACAATTGCCTTTAGCAGCATCAGAAGATTAAGTACATTACATGTCATGTACAACCATTTTGTATCCAGCCTTTATTAGATTATTTGCCATTCTGGATCCCATATTTCCCAGTCCAATGAATCCAACACTCTGCAAAACATTATTAGACACACTTTTTATAGTCTGAAAACATGTCAGAACGGAACGTCAAAGAAGATCAAATCCACATTTCCTAACTATTGAATTGAGGAGCCAGAAACAAAGAATTAATTAGCAGTAAGCCACAATTTATCGACTCAAAAAGTATAAGATCTTGCGATAAGAAGTTGAGAGTGAGCCTATGCTTAAATCACAGGAACTAAAGATTGACTTTGACTTAAATTTAGATACTTAAAATTAATCCAATTATAGATATAAAAAACTTCAGGTTTAAGTTTTCAATTAATCTGATAATTGGAAGAAAAAAAACAGTAGAATTTGATAATCACGTTGTCGAGAACAAAGCATTCACTTAAACTTTGAAATGTTTCCAGCAGTTCAAACCGCAGATTTGCTAGTTCGTTGAATTCCATAAAAGACCGATCATCATGTGGCTCTACGGGCAAGAAATTACATTTCAGAGAGGGAGAATCTATCATAACAGTTTTCTCAATACCACAAACAAATGATTCCGAAGATGAAAAGAACTTGCCTGGAACGAAGCCGAAGAATCAGCAGAGAAGAATCTACGTATAGAAGATGTCTCACTCTCAACCGCAAAAGGTTTAAAACGAGATGATTTCCTCAGGCACTGCATGAAAGAAGCTCTGACTCTAGAAACCGCCATTGATGGCTCCTTCACGTCAGTTCACAGACGACGGAAGGAAGAAGAAGAAGAAGAAATGATCACTGAAAAAATCACTTCAATCGTACACATCAAAAGCCTATAAAGGAATCTTTTCGATCAATAATTAAGAACTGATCCGTCTTCGCATTGGCTTTCCCTTCCTGCAATTTACGACAGTGGCCTCGGCTTCTTCTCTGGATAGTGTTGATCCGACACGTCGTCGGGCGCCAAAGTGATGTATACAAAATAACTTAAATTTTAAGATAAGTTTTAATTATGATGTGCTTAAATATTTCTGAACTTCCAATTCTACCCTCCATTCCAACTTTTAAAATTATTTGAAAAATACCCTTCCATAAAATTTCCATGAATAACTTTGACTGTTACTCTCACTGATCCAATGATTCAAAGCTGTCGGTCACATTAGGATGCCATTCTCGAATACTTTTTTTCTAAAATATGAGATCTTCCTTCTCGCAATAAAAAAAAATAGGGTTGACAAAAAAAATTCGAGACAACTAAACTCATTTACTACCAATTGCTCGATAAATTTCTTATCGTTGAGGATGAAAATTGTGAGATTTCACCTCGGTGGGAGAGGGAAACAAAGCATTACTTACCTTATAAGGGTGTGGAAGTCTTTCCCTAGCAAATGTGTTTTAAAATCGTGAGGTTGACGACGATGCGTAATGGATCAAAGCGGACACTATATGCTAGCGGTGTGCCAGCGAAGACGTTGGCTTCCAAAGGAAGTGGATTGTGAGATCTCACATCGGTTGAAAAAGAGAACAAAACATTTTTTACAAACAATGTGGAGACGGTTGGATGAAAGTCTCATATCGGCTAATTTAGGGAATGATCATGGGTTTATAATCAAGGAATACTATCTTCATTGGTACGAGACCTTTTGGGGAAGCTCAAAGCAAAGTCATGAGATCTTATACTCAAAGTGGACAATATCATACGCTTGTGGAGAGTCATGTTCATTTAACATGGTATCACAGTCATGCCCTAAACTTAGCCATGTCAATAGAATCCTCAAATGTCAAACAAAGTATTGTGAGCATCAAAGACATAATCAAAAGAAAGAGTCCAGTCGCGATGAAGGGGAGGTGTTGGATGAAAGTCCCACGTCGGCTAATTTCTCGTGGGTTTATTATGAGACCTTTTGGAGAAGCCCAAAGCAAAGTCATGAGATCTTATACTCAAAGTAGACAATATCATACGATTTTGGAGAGTTGTGTTCATTTAACATGGTATCAGAGCCATGCCCTAAACTTAACCATGTCAATAGAATTCTCAAATGTCGAACAAAGTATTATGAGCCTCGAAGACATAATCAAAAGAAAGAGTCTAGCCTCGATGAAGGGGAGGCGTTGGATGAAAGTCCTATATCGGCTAATTTCTCGTGGGTTTATAATCAAGGAATATTATCTCCATTGGAATGAGACCTTTTAGAGAAGTCCAAAGCAAAGCCACGAGAACTTATGCTCAAAGTGGACAATATTAGACGCGTAGAATCATGCAAAATCTCGAACCCCTAAACCCATAAATCCGCTAGTTTTAGTTCAACTATGAATCTCATGGAGAGTTCGATCCTGGCTCAGGATGCACGCTGGCGGCATGCTTAACACATGCAGGTCGGACGGGAAGTGGTGTTTCCAGTAGCAGACGGGTGAGTAACGCGTAAGAACCTATCCTTGGGAGGGGAACAACAGCTGAAAACGGCTGCTAATACCTCGTACGCTATGGAGCAAAAGGAGGAATCCGCCCGAGAAGGAGCTCGCGTCCGATTAGCAAGGAGATAATGAAAGGTCATAGTATGGCCCATTCAGCTCTTCACATGAGCTGAAAGTAGAATGATCCAAAAGCAGTGGTTCAAGCATCTGAAGCCCATTTGGAACAAAAACAACAGAACAAAACAAGCAAAACAAGACATAAATGTCTTGGTCTGTATTCACAAGGTCAAAGAAAACAGAACTCCTCGTATTCATCAAATCATGTTCTTTTTCTACAACAACTTTCAGGTCGATGAAAGAAACTGAGGGAATATGGAAGCAGTTCTTCCTTCATCTACCTCAGAAAATAGAACTAATCTAATTCAGAAATGAGAAGCTAATGAGACATTAAATTCCCATAAATATCAAAGCCAAACAAACTCCACCCTCTATCTATATGGACGAAAGTTCTTCGTATATAGTCTTGATACCTGGTCGTTCCGATACCGTTCGAATGCATCGTAAACCTATACCGAGCACTTCCTTCATACCCTTCTCTGTGCCTGCTGCATTGCTCATTTCCGGTAACAATACGGTATCGAAACAGTCGGAGCCCCGCCCTTCGGCGACTCGTAAACGCACCCAATCTGTTAGATCGACTCCTCCTTCTTCACCGGAGATCACGTCACCAGCACATCTTCCAGTTAGAAGTTCCAAGAGAATCACTCCAAATGCATACACATCAGACTTGAAGGAGGGTTGTGGCTTCTTGGAAGCTGTCAACTCTGGGGCACGGTAACCTAAGACCCCAGCGTCGAGAATTTGTTCGATGGTGCCAGCATGAGTCATGAGGCGATGAAGGCAATAATCAGCAACGCGAGCATTCAGATCTGCTCCATCTAGTAGTACATTTGTAGCTTTAAGATTCCCGTGTGGAACGGCTCGATCGAAATGGAGATAGTTTAGGCCACGTGCTATATCGACCGCGATCTTGAGCCTTTGAGCCCATGTCAATGGACCTTTTCTTCCTGGACGATCTGAAGAAAGTTACATTAACTAGTTAGGCAGTGAAATATGTAGTTACAGCGGAACGGAAAAACAAATTAAGTCGAGAATTACCATATAGAAAGACTGCAAGATTTCCGGGCGAGATATAGTCCGAAAGAATGAGCTTCTCATGCTGTGTAGGTCCCCAATAATACCCTCTCAATCCAACGACGTTCGGATGTCTGATATTCGCAAACTTTTTCGCCTCCTTAGCGAATTCCTTTCTCTGCTTCGCTACGCCTTCTCTCAACCACTTAACTGTCAAGAACATCCCACTCTCTAATGTTGCTCTGTAAGAAGTGCCATGGCTGCTCCTCCCCAACACTTCAGCCGGAGCTCTTGATAGTTCCTCCGGTGTCAATGAGATTGAGTCGTCGAGAAAATGAATTTCACCAGCCAACCGATCAGGTGATCTCACATCGAGTCTTGCAAGGTTTTCGGCAGTAAACGAGTCGCCTGATTCAGGTGACCAAGAGAAATGACTGTTTTTAGCTGGGGAGAAACCAGTTCCTGCAGCTAGTTTCTCGTCCGGGCTGATCATCTCAGATGACAACACTTTCCTTGAAGTAACAAGATCCTCAGCTGAAACAACTAGATTGCTACCAACTCCGGCTCCTCCAATGCTCGAAGAGCTTAGAGAACTTCGTCTATGAACGTCCTTCATCGTTGTAGCAAGCTCCGGTGGATTTTTCCTTCGTATGCAGATGTAATGAAAGAAGATAGCAAGGAGGATGATGATAACCAAAGCAATCACACATGAGACAATTATGATTACTTTTACAATCGTGTTCATTTTCTTTCTCCTCGATGTATCGTCTGGATTATCGTTCGATCCAGGACTATTTGGAAGAATCAGTCTTGAATTTCCAGGATAGAACGCAGAACGTGGAAACTTTCTGAGATTTTCAGGGACGGTTCCTGAAAGATCATTAGATGAAGCATTGAAGTTCTGAATAGCACCCGACAAGTTTCGGGGAAGGGGACCTGTGAAATGATTCTGCGATATATCTAACGAGATCAACAAGCTCAGATCGGACATAGAAGTAGGCAACGATCCAGAAAAATTGTTTCCAGCAATATTCAGCATTGTAAGGCCAGTTAAAGATGTAAATTGATCAGGAAAATAGCCACCGAGTTGATTATCAGAAAGATCGAGAATCTCAAGGTTCGCTCGACCCGGGGAAGGAAGCAAGAACTTGACAGCACCACTGAGTAAATTATTCTCCAGATGGAGCTCTTCCAAAGTGGACATTGTGAGCAAATCAGTCAACAAAGGTCCATCAAACTGGTTATAGCTAAGATCAAGGACTCGAAGCTTCGGGTACTTGGCAATAGCACTCGGGAGCGGACTACTTAGAGTATTATGGGACAAGTTTAGGAAATTTAACCGCAAGAACTGTGGAGTTACCTCGGGGATCGGCCCTGTCAAAAGATTCTGACTGAGATCAAGAAACTCAATGTTCCCCCACTTTATCATCCTCGTTAAGTTTCCCTCAAATTTGTTATTTGAGAGATCAAGCACGACACAACTTCCAGTCAGCAACGGAAGATCACCGGTAAGCTGATTGGACGACAGATTGAGGACGCGTAAGGTCGTTGACGTGATCATACTTACCGACCCTGAACGATAAACCAAAGAAGAACGACAAAAGGCCATGTTAAAGAACATAAGAAGCTAGTTATAATGTTAACTAATGTAGCTAGAATCAAGTTAGTACCTGACAGATTATTGGCACTCAAATCCAGTTCGGTAATAACCGAAGCGTCGCCTTTTAATAGGTTATTAGGAATATCGCCCGAAAATCTATTGTTGCTCAGCTTCAAGATTTGGAGTTCATACACAAAACTAAAACCAGGTAGCTCTCCAGAGAGCTGATTGTAACTTAAATCCAATGTTTTCAAGTTTTCGAACAGCGATAACTCGCCTCCGTTGACCAATGATCCAGTAAGCTGGTTACGACTAAGATTTAAATACTTGATGGTATCAGAAAGTCGAGGCAAAAACTTCCCGTGCTCCGTGTCGGAGCTCGTTAGCATGTTGCTACTGAAGTCAACATGAGTGGCACCAGAAAGCATGAAAAATTCAACATCTAGTGTGCCAACAAGCATATTACCATGCAAATCAAGCACCTTAAGATCTGAAATGAGCTCAAATCCCTTGGGAATACTCTTAGTAAAGCCATTGAGAGACAGATCTAGATATACCAAGTTTGTCAGCTTAGTCAATGCGGTAGGCAACGGGCCAGAAAACGAGTTACGACTCAAATCCAACGATCGGATTGATTGAAGACCAACAATCGGATCGATACTACCCGAGAAGTTATTGCCAGCCAATGATAAGTTTTGCAAGCTTGTTAACTTACCAATCTCCTGTGGTAAAGATGAATCAAAAAGGTTATTCGAGATATCAAGAAACTCTAAGCTTTGAAACTCGGCTATATTGTCCGGGAACTTCCCCGTTATCGAGTTATTCGACAAGGAAAGCTTCGCAAGCTTCGTGAGATTCGAAAACACATTCAAATCTACATCAGCTGAAAGGCCTAAATTATCCAACACCACTCCAGCAACACTTCCACTGTTGCAAACAATGCCATTCCAAGAAGAAGGACAGCCATCAAAATCAATAGACTCCTCATTCCACGAGCTAACTACAAAGCCTGTTGGGTCATGCTTGATACCCTTCTTGAACTCGAGCAGAGCCAAGATGTCTTGTGAAGGGAGCTGAGCCATAGCAGAAACAAGCAAAAGAGACAACACCAAAACCCACATGGCCCTCATTTCACTGCTCAGCTCAGTAAGCAAAAGAACCAACAAAAGGGCAAATCCAAGACAGCTCCTAAGCTTTAGATTCTTACAGACAACGAGCTCAAACCCAGAATTTTACCAATGAAGCAAATAACATATACCTAAACAAGCAAAATAAACAACACAAGCCGTGTAGCTTCAGAGATTAAGCACAGAAAACGCTGCATTTTCCTCACAAAAACGAAAAACCCCTTTTACAGAGCAATGCAGGCACACCCTTTACCAATACCCACAACAAAAGGACAAAAACATGGAACATCAGAGAAACAAAAGAGGATTACAAAGCTACTCCATACCTTTTCTCACAACCCTGAAACACAGAACATTGAGCATAGAAAACCCAGGAAGAAGAAGGAAATGGGTGTCCAAATAAAGAACAGGACAGCATTAAAGAAGATGGGGGCAAGATATTCAGGCACCCAAAAACCCTAAAAGAAGTGACATTGAGCTGAATGTAGAGAGTAGAGGAAGTTGAGTTGTTTGTTTAATGGAGGGCGTAGGCGACTGCTCAAAACAAAGAGAAAATGACTTTATCCGTTCATTCACACGCCCTGTTTACTCAAGCGAGTGCATGTGAGTGACCCAAACAAGAACCCCACCGCGCTTCAGCATTCAACCGATTAGGGAAAAGCGGAAAAAAGAATTCATGGGGAAAATCAAATTAAATAAATAAATAAATAAATAAAACCCCTCAATTTAGATTCCTTCTTTTGAGGTGGTGCAGTGGCAGCTCAGCAGACAGCAAACATTAGAGTACGCGGGAAAGTGCTGTCTTTTTTCGTGGATAAATGGAGCATTTAACCGCCAACGATGAAAATGGAGGGTATCCAATTTTTAGGGAAAATAATCATGGGTTATTGTTTATAATTTAAATTTAAAAAATAAAAAATAATTAAATTATTCTCAATCGAGTGACAACTGTCGTGAAATTACAAACCCAGCTCTCGAAAGTAGAACATATACGAAACCAAACCGTGAAATAACAATGGACCAATTAGAATCTTGCACTTAAATAGAATTTTCATAAGAAACATGTGAGTGAAGATAAAAACGTGTGAAAAAGACCCATGTTAGCTTGTGACGATAGTTTTCGCTCTTGGGTATATTGCACGAGAATGTTAGGTCATAAAATGATACCAAGAAGCACTTACAGATAAAATGGGTAACATTGTCATGTCGAAATCCTTCACCAGGAATTATCTTGTTCGGATTTCGATTCCACAACCTAATAAGCTTTGGCTCACGAACAGGCGCTGGATCGAGATTTCCTTAGAAACGTAGAGTGGAGAGGAAAGAAAAGATTCTCGATCGATATGGAGATACACGAGAGATACAACGGAATTAAGTGTTGTAAAAGATGCATGAAATATCAAGGTCATCCAATAATGGAGATGGATTATAAATTATAGTTTGACTTTTATACATAAGACGAGTTTGAATATTAATATTATATGAAATTATGAAACTATAATGATTGAAAAACTCCCGATGTGATTAATGAAGCTTCAAAAAGTAATAATGTAAATATAGTAATGTATTTATTTAATGCATGAAAATAACACTTACAAAAAAATGTCTTTTTTAATGACAAAATTCATTTATTATCTAAATTTGATTATATATATTTATATATTAATACTATTTTCTTCCAAATTAATTATTTGTAAATATATATTTTCACGAATTATTGTCGGCATTTATTGTAAAAGAAGTGCCATGTAGGATGGTGGGACCCACTAGTTCCTTTTGACTATGTCTTCTTTGCTGGCTCAGTCCCATTGGTCCAGACAGGAGAGAGGTGAAGTAGGTGCAAAATATAATTGTAGACTGAAAATTGGGACCCACCTTCAACCAGTTATAATAAGACACGTAGACTAATTTGTCTTTACTGTCCATTTAATCATGGGGCTGTGGTATGTGTAAGCATGGGAGAAATAAAGTGGTCCCCACTAAAAAAGCGTAATTTAAAAAGTATTATAAAAATATAATAATTTAAAAGATATATTACTATCTACCTATTTCAACCTAACAAATATTAAAAATTATTTATTTATGAAATTTTAAATAAAAATTTATAAAATTTGATTTATTTGATTTTAATAGTAGTAATGATTATATATCATATCTTAAAATTAATCATATAAATGACATCTATTTTACGCATCTTATAGCTCAATAAATAATTTACTTTTTTTCTATAATTTTTAAAATTTTAAATTTGTCCATCCATTTAAACAAGTATTAATAAATGATGAAATGAGATTAAAGGTAAATTAGGTCAGAATTTAGAATAGTTTGAATTAGTCAACCTATTCGTAATTAGTTAATATTTGGACAAATAAATTGTCCCACTAACCCAGCTTAATTTAAAAAATATTATAAAAATATGATAATTTAAAAGATATATTACTATCTACCTTTTTAATATAAAAAAAATTAAAAATTCTTTATTTATGAAATTTTAAATAATTTTATTTATTTGATTTTAATAGTAATAATAATTATATATCATATCTTAAAATTAACTATATAAATGACATCTATTTTACGCGTCTTATAGCTCAATAAATAATTTACTATTTTTTTTCTATAATTTTTAAAATTTTAAATTGATCGTCCATTTAAACAAGTATTGATAAATGATGGAACGAGATTAAAGATAAATTATGTCTTTGAATTAGTCAAAATATTCGTAATTAATTAATATTTGGACAAATAAAGTAGTCCACTCAACCAGCTTAATTTAAAAAGTATTATAAAAATATGATAATTTAAAAGATATATTGCTATCTACCTTTTCAATATAAACAATATTAAAAATTCTTTATTTATGAAATTTTAAATAATTTTATTTATTTGATTTTAATAGTAGTAATAATTATATATCATATCTTAAAATTAACCGTATAAATGACATCTATTTTACTCATCTTATGGCTCTACACAATAAATAATTTACTTTTTTTTTTTTCTATAATTTTTAAATTTTATTAACGATGAAATGAGATTAAAGGTAAATTATGTCAGAATTGAGTAGAATGCTAGTCTGAATTAGTCAAGATATTCGTAATTAGTTAATATTGGGAGAATATATTAGTTATAGAATATACCTTAGATATTCGTAATCATTAATATTTGTCTGGTATGATTTGATTAGTAGTATATTTTATTTTATTGTCAAAATTGAGTTAGTTTATGTTTTGCTTATTTGTAGGTATTAGTTGTAGCTTATATCCTATTTAAACGTTGTAAATATAAATGAAGATTGAACGTTGGATCCCAATTTTATTTCTCATTTTAAGTCTATATTATTTTAAGTAATAATATTTTCAGATCTATTCACACTTTTGAGTGGTAGATATTGTGTCAAAATTAAAGTAGAACGTGATATCGAGGTACTAGAAATTTTATTTCAAGCGTTAAAATAGTAGATAAATGGAAGAACGTTTTCGAATTGTCTTACCTCACTCGATATCTGGTGCTCAATTTATCTTGAGATACTCTCAATTTCTCTCGAATTCTTTATTCGGTGCGTAAATAACCCATAAGTAAATTTTCACATTTAATTATTATATAATGCATTATGTTTCTAAATTTTGTAATATTACGTCATATTTACATTAACAAAGTAATTTAATGATTTTATTTTGAATTAAAATATTTGGTTGAAGAAATATATCCACTTGTCAATGTTAAAATAGAAGAATAAAAACTCAATTAAAAACACCACAAAACATTGGGGACCAACTTTTATATTAAAAGCCAAAAACAATAAAGGTAAAAACAAAAAAAAACACAAAAATTGTTATTTTACGTGTAATATAAAAATATTTTTGGAATAAATTGGATTTAGAGACAGTTATTTTATAATCTAAAGGATATTAAAAATGGTTAAAAGACCATTTTGGCCTTGTATTATGTAATATCGTGATCGTGGATAAGGGAACAAGGTCGGTTTATTGTATTTAAAATTTATTGTTATTGACGCGTTTGAATTTTAATTAAATGGTAAAAACAAAAGCAATTATTTTTAGTTTCTAAAATTCAACTTAGCTTTCGAAAATATTAAAAATTGACAACAAAATCGGGAGGTTATAGATGGAATTAGGGATATTACTGTCTCATCTCTCGTTATAATTCTATCACACATAATTTTTCATTTATTTTGTCACGGAATTGAGTTTTACCATCTTTAAAATATATGTATGTATATAATAAGTTCATTTTGTGACTATATATGTGATGTCTCATATTGGTTGAAGAGGAGAACAAAACACCCTTTGTAAGAGTGTGGAAACCTTCTCCTAGCAGACGCGTTTTAAAGCCTTGAGGGGAAGCCCAAAAGGTAAAGCCAAAAGAGGACAATATTTGGTAGCGGTGGATTTGAGCCGTTACAAATAGTATTAGAGCTAGACACCAGATTATGTGTCGATGAGGAGGCTGTTCCCCAAAGGGGTAGACACGAGACGGTGTGCCAGTAAGGACACTAGGCCCTGAAGGTGAGTGGATTGTGATGTCCCACATTGGTTGGGGAGGAGAACAAAACACCGTTTATAAGGATGTGAAAAGCCTTAAGGAAAAACTCTAAAGGTAAAACACAAAGATGACAATATCTGTTAGCGTGGATCTGGGCCATTACAATATATATATATATATATATATTATACATAAAAAGTGAGGATTTGGGTGAGGTCAAGGTACGGGATACAATCCTCATTTTCATCTCAATTAAGCTAATGTAGTAAAATCTTTTCTTACTCCCTCCTTCGTTTTATGTTTAAACAGGGATTCTACACCATGTTTAAGCTGAATCTCAATAGAGTTTCGACCCATAGTTTAAATGAACATCTCTTTGGAACCCGTTTCTTCTCGTTAAATAAAGATCGTTTATCCTTCATTTATATAGACGATCTTAAATGACGGTATTTAATTTATTTAATAATATGAAAACCAAAAAAGAAAAGAAAAAAAAAAGAAAGAAAAAGGAAAGTGGGTAGGAATTATAAATATAGAAGTGAATTTGGCAATGTATGGAATATTCCACCAAATGGTGGGTTTGGGTGTAAAGCTGAAGTGTGGAGACCCCTTTCTTTCCCTTTAATTCATTCGTTACAAAGCTGTCGGCTTGTTTTTAATAAAGCCATTACCCACACGGCAAAAGCCCCTTTCAAACATAAATAATAAATATTATATATTTATATATTCTTTTTATCTTTTGTTTAAATATTTTTTTAGAAATTAAATTACTATTATCATTTGAAAAATAAGACTAATTAATCACCATTTCAAAATTTAAAATTACTATTATTACTTTTAAATGTTCATTTTAGTCTTTGTTTCATTAAATTTTAAAATTATTATCTTATATCAATTCGAAGAATTATGTTTAGCCCCAAACGTGCATTATTTAGAGATGCATCACTTTCATACACATCGACCCTGTATCACGTTTAGGAACATAGAGCCCAAGCGTGCATCATTTTGAAATTCATCACTTTCATACACATTGACCCTATATCACTTTTAGGCTACACATAGCCCAAACGTGCATCATTTCGAGATACAGCGCTTTCATACACATCAACCCTATATCACTTTTTGGCCACACAGAGCCCAAAAGTGCATAATTTCGAGATTCATCACTTTCATATGCATCAACCCTATATCACTTTTAGGCCACACAAAGCCCAAATGTGCATCATTTTTAGATGCATCGCTTTCATACACATCGACCCTATATCACTTTTAGGAACACAAAACTCAAACGTGCATCATCTAGAGATGCATCACTTTCATACACATCGACCCCTACATCTATTTTAAGAACACAGTGTCCAAACATCCCGCATACGACTAAAGTTCGAGATACTACGAATGGAATAATCAAACTCAACCTACTCTCACCATCAAAGGAAAAAGAAGAATCATGTGAAGACATATAATAGCTTTTAAAATTGGCATCAATACTTTTCATTAAAAAAGTATATATATCATTCCAATGCATAATGAAAGTCTCTTTCTCTCTCTTTTTCAATTTTTTTATATAATTTTATCAGAAGAAGTCAACCAAAAATGTTTAATGATTAGTACGGATCTCCTGAAATGAAAAATTATTTTTATTCGGGGTATTTTAGTCATTTACTAAATATTAGGTTTTTATATTTTTTCAACAAATAAAGATATATTTTGTTATTTAATATTAAAATTTTTCATTTCTGTTCCTAACCTTATAGCCTTTTTCAACTAGTCTCGTGGGCCCAGTCGCCAAGCCCAACGGGAAAGCCCATTGGACCACTGCCCATCGACCATGGTGGGAGGGTTGCTATCGAAATATATCGAAACAAATAAACGAATAAAAAAGAACAAATTGAGAGGAGAATTTCTTAGAATAGAAGAAATCGAAGAAACTTAAAAGCACTATATTTTTCAATAATAGACCTAAACCGTAAACCCTTAAACTTTAAACAAGTTAATAACTTTTGTTTGCTGAGTCAATACACGGTTAAAGACCGGTATAAATAGAGGATCTAACCATATAAACAGGGTAACAAAAACTTACTTCGATCCAATACAGACTTAGTATTAGAGCGTTGTGGTGTCACAGTCGCAATGTTCTTGGCAGCGGATTGGAGATTGTGCAGCACTAAGTGAGTCGAGCCAATTTGAAATCACGTCGTCTACGGCCCGATGACGTATTCTCAACCGGCTTCGTTTTGAGAGGAAAGTTTTAGAAAATAGGGCAGAGAGATTTTCGAATGATAGTTTAAAAGCAATTTCATAGGCTATAAGCGAGAAAGACTAATTCAATGACTTAGAACATATCTTTATATAGGGAGAATTTGACAACTAGTCATGTCCCCCTATAGTAAATTTTGAGGCGATTCCAACCTCGCAAGCCTAGACATAATTTCGCCGAATAGTTATACAAAATCGAGATAAGGAGAATTGACTACAAGTCGCATCCCCTGTAGTACATTTTGAGGCAATTCATATCTAACAACTCTAGACATGATTTTGTCGAACAGTCGCAAAAAATACAATAGCAAAGCAATACAACATGAAATCAAATAAAGGGTTTAGCGTGAGGTGGGCAAAACGCCCTAGACGATCATGACCATGACACCTAGCACCACTCGAATGTGAGTTTTAACGTTGCGGGTCTACCCGGGTGTCGCGGATGAAGTCCGAAAGGAAGCCACTACATCAAGACAATTTGTTTTCATGGTTTTGAAGGGAGCTGATAAGAGAATTACACTTTGAATGCAACTTAAAAGACCTCATAAACATTAAAAGTGTCGAATTCAAGCCCAAAAAGTGGACAGAACTTTCTCAGTATATGTTCTTATCACAATAACAATCAATCAAATGGTTAAAAAGAAAGTATGAAACAACAGAATTTGAAGACAAAAGCATTTAGTGGAACTCCATGAAATGAAAATGAAACTCAGAGGGTGGCATTGAAGGGGACTTGAGCCTTTGAGATCCAATCTTTACCGTGAATGAAAGAGGAAACAGTGAATTTCTTGGCAGTTTTGGTGTCAATATTCTTCAAACCTTTCCATTTCACTCTGTTGGCTGTGGAAGAACCAGGGCCTTTGTTTTGAAACTCAGCATAGAAGATGGTGTCTGGTGCTGATGTTCCAACCCATGGCAGCCAGCCAGTTGGGTGAATCAAGCTACCGAAATCGTTCTGCATAAACACGGTCGTCGAGTAGTTCTTCCATGGACGACCGAGGTAAGTTTCGGTAGTTTTCAAGTTTTCGAACGGTTGGATTGAAGAGTGTTGTATTGAAATGCCAGTGTGTTGATTAGGATCAAACCGGCCTTGAGCAGTGATTGTGTTCTTTTGGCCTAAAAGAGGCAACTTTGGTGCAATTTTGCAGTTTTGTAGGACTACTGCTGAGTTTCCAAAGATGAAATCGACCGTGCCGTAAACCTTGCAGTCACGGTAGAATTGACGGTTCGAGTGTGCATAGAGAGTGTCTTGGTATGCATTCATTTGGCAGCGGTAGAAGATCGATTGGTCCGACGTCGACATCAGAGCAACCGCCTGGTGTTTGCTCGGTCCAGCTGTGTTCTCAAATCCCATGTCTATGGCAATGAAGCCTTTTCCCTTTGCAGCTGCACAAAAAAACACACTGTTAGATTCTAAGCATGCTAGGAATCACGACTCTCCACACTAGTATGATATTGTCCACTTTGAACCTAAGCTCTAGCTTTACTTTAGGTTTACCTCGTACCAATGCTCCCCTCGAACAAAGTACACCATAGAGCCTCCCCTAAGGTCTATGTGCCCATCAAACAATCTCCCCTTAATCAAGGCTCGACTCCTTTTCTAGAGTCCTCGAACAAAGTACACCCTTTGTTCGACATTTGAGGATTCTATTGACATGGTTAAGTTCAGGGCATAGCTCTAATACCATGTTAAGAATCACGACCCTCCACAAAGGTATGATATTGTCCACTTTAAGCATAAGCTCTCGTGGCTTTACTTTGGGCTTCCCCAAAAGACCTTGTACCAATAAAGATGTATTCCTTACTTATAAACACATAATCATTCCCTAAATTAACCAACGTGGGACTCGTAAGCTTAGAAAATGTTACCAAATGTTGCAGTAGAAAATGTTGGCGTCCCATCTATGAAGTTGAGCCTGCCAGTTACAGTGGTTGAAGTCATTCCATCGCCAATCATCACTACATTCCATTTGTTCTTCACAACTTCAACATTCTCCTTGTAAACTCCCTTCTTCACATAGATCACAGTTCTCTTCTTGCTCTTATCAGGTACAGCATTGAGAGCTTCAGTGATTGTTTTGTACTTCCCCGATTTGTCTTTCGCTACGACGATGTCGGCCTGCTTCCGGAGATCCTTTTGAGCTAGCTTCCGGAGTATCGGGCGCGCCCAATCTCCATTGCTATGTCGATCTTCATAACTCATCAATCGTCGTAGACTGAAAGAATCCGTTAGCTTCGAAAAGAAGGACACAATGGCAAGGCCATTGCTGGTCATTTCAGTAGAGTTCTTCAAGTAATTTGCGATGACATTCGTCAAAGCGAGATCGACTTCCTCGAGCCCGTCGATGCAAGTTTGCTGGTAAGTAGCTGCTGAACTTAGCCATGTTTTCAAATCATCCACAGCTTTCAGCACTGTAATCTCACTTGATGATAATGAGTCATTTAGATGATCTATTGCCAAGTCCAAAAGTTCATGACAACTTCTCAAAGCTAATATGGTCTTATTATCAGTTGAATTGGTAATGGCATGCTCCAAAAGGTAATCAGCCACTCGCGACAGTTCACCGAGCGCGAGTTGAACCGAAAACTTGGCTATTTGACCAGGGTCGAGGTGGGACGAGTTAGCTAGAGAACCAAAAGCATTCTTACAAGTATCGGGATACAAAGTCTCATCACAAACTGCTTTTATCGAAGTTGAAAGAGCCTCATTGTGATTGTCACTCTCGTCGTTCTTGGAACTATTTCTAGTCCCGAACACAACAGCAACAACAACACCAACAAGAACAACAGAGGACAAGACAATGACAATGACCCTCTTCCGAGTCCTTCGGCTAGCGTCGAGCCTCATTTGATCGGATTCATCGACCTTACCATAAGGTCTAAGGAGAGACATGCTGTTGCTGCTGTTGCTGCTGCTATTTCCTCGAGTTGTTGTATGGATAAAACGCTTTTGGTGAGATGGGAAGGTGGGGATTTTGCAGAACAATATATATAGAGAGAGAGCAGATTTGAGTGAAGAACTTAACACGGTTTGACGTGCAAGGCACTAGAGCATTGCAATGGCTATGCTTAATTTGTTTTGTTTGTAGTTTCAAAGTTCATACACGGTTTAGAGAACTGCATCTCACGTTGCAGCATGATATCAAGGAACCTAATAATTTGTTCATTTTTTTTTCCTTTGCATCATAATTATAATATACATACAAATCTTCTTCTCTGTCCTTCTCTCTCTCCCACAAAATTTGTTCAAACTTTTTTATTCATTAATACCTCCAGCTACCACTAACTGATATTGTTCTCTCTTAGCTTTTCCTTTTGGGCACTAGCCGATATTGTCCTCCCTAGACTTTTCCTTCCAAGCTTCCTCTCAAAGATTTTAAAACTTGTCTGTTATGCAGAAGTTTCCATATTGTCCTCCCTAGACTTTCCCTTCCAGATTTCCCCTCAAAGTTTTTAAAATGTGTCTACTACGGAGAAATTTCCACACCTTAATTGTCCTCTCTAGATTTCCCCTTCTGGGCTTCCCTTCAAAGTTTTTAAAACGTGTCTGCTAAGAAGAGGGTCCTCTCTAGATTTCCCCTTCTGGGCTTCCCTTCAAAGTTTTTAAAACGTGTCTGCTAAGAAGAGGTTTCCACATCTTAACGTGGGATCTCACACTGAACTTGAACTTGTCATTGACTTCTTGCTTTCAGCAATGGGCTAATTTCCACCGATATTGAATGATTAGTATTATATATATTAATAAAATAAAATAAAAATAAAATTAAAAAAGTCAGAAGAAGAACTTCAAATGAAATTGTAACTGAGGGAGGAAGTAATGTAGATTTAAAAATCAGCTAAACACAGCACTGGTCAACCTTTAGTGTTTGTTTTGTAGGGGTGGTGGGTGTCACGAAATAATTAAAATTTTGTATGCCAATTCAAAATATACAAAAATAAAGATTATGGAGGAAAGGTTGATTTATTATATAGCAAATTGATGATTAATGGATTTTATGTTCATAGTTCTAAATAAACAATTGAGACAAATAGTTTAGAACTTTGGAATCGAAAAGGGATATATCAAAAGGGGCAACGAGTAAGAGGCTTCGCTCCCATAGATCTAACACGTCTTCCAGGAAAAAAGTAATAATAAGAAAATGAAAGTGATCCATATTTATAAGAATATTGAGGAACAAAAGAATTTCTATGTGCGAGTTGTATGTACTAATTAGAATCTTTTTTCTAGTACATCATGAATTTATCTCGAATATGGCAACTCGCCAAATAAAAGTTAATAGAAAAAAGAATAGAGGTATTACTAACAAAACAGCTACGAGTAGATTCAAAAAAACGTACCCAAAGCACCCACACCCACCCGAACGCCCAAACCTCGGAGACATTACGAGTTTTTGGTATTAAGCTTACTAGAAGGTTTGAACTTAGGACTCTAAACGAGTAGTAGTTCTTGTAAAAAGCTTGGAAGTATAAGCTTCAAGGCAGTTTAATTTAAATTTTCTTCCTTCTCATTCCTCGACTATTTAAGCCAAGAATATGACATGGGTGGCGGCGACGACATTCGAAATGATCAAGCCACTGTATTTTCTCGACTCGAATCAATTCAAACAACCAACTCGGAATCTGCCAACATCAAACTTCTTGTTCTAAACATATCATTTTAGTAAAACGGGAAAGGGGGGAAAAGAAGATCAGGAGAAGAGAAATCAAGAGATGAAAAGATGACATACAGTTTTGTTTATATACTGCAATGTTTGATCTGAGGAGAAATGTGAAGAACAGTAAATATCACGTAGGGTTTCTATAAATTTAACTTAAAAACAGAGGAATTTCTTTATAGCAACGCTCAAACAGGCTACTAAGTCCAAAATTCAGGGTTGATTTCAGTAAGACATTAACATAACCAAAAAAAGAAACAGGGGACTCGAGAAATCTAATAAATAAAAGAGAGTACAGAGGATCGATATTACGTTATATGGGACTCATTTTTTGCCACCTCCGGAAACATTGAATTTGAAGAATATAATGTCTCCATCTTGGACCACGTAAGTCTTTCCCTCTTGTTTGTATTTTCCAGCAGCCTGTAAAAGAAGGATGAGAGGTAAAAGAGTTTTAGTCCCCCTGCTACAAATAAAATAACGAGGGATATGTCATCGGGCTGGTAGCTAGGATTGGAACTTATTTAGATCAGAGACGGAGTCCTAATACAATTTCCATGCAGATGAACTCCGATCAAGAGATCAGAAGTTTGAATTAGATCAAAGACGAAGTCCTAATACAATTTCCATGCAGATGAACTCCGATCAAGAGATCAGAAGTTTGAATTAGATCAAAGACGAAGTCCTAAAACAATTTCCATGCAGATGAACTCCGATCAAGAGATCAGAAGTTTGAATTAGATCAAAGACGAAGTCCTAATACAATTTCGCAGATGAGTTCAGAAGTTTGAATCACCCACCATATTTTAAACTCAAAATAAAGAAGAAAAATATGTATAAAAATGATAACGCTGCATCTTGTAGGTTGGTTAAATATGGAAATAATTTGTCGATGATTAATTATATTTTTATAATATGATCATTTATCAGAAACTGGTTTAAAATTAACGCTTTTCTTAAATCCAAATTCTAATACAGCAAGAATCAAGATTGAATATATATACCTTGACTGCCGTCTCACTGCCAAGTTCCTTGAGATCCTCAAATTTCATAACCTAAAACCAACATAAAAATTAGGATAACATCCTACGAAAATTTCAAGATTATAAAAAAATGATAGTTATAAAATATCAAAAGCCAACATAAGCATGAAAAAGGTCAAAAGGCCTAATCGATCTAACAATCACTCGGCCTAAACATGAGGGCTCTGTTTACTGACGGACTGCAACTAAAATTGTTTAAATATAAACTTATGGAAGGCTCAGAATAACCTCAGCACAAATGAACCCTTTCTCAAAATCAGTATGAATTGTCCCTGCAGCTTGAGGAGCCTTTGTCTGTCGTCTAATTTGCCAGCATTTCACCTGCAAAGGTACACATATATTCATCATTGGATCAAGCCAACAGTTACGACAGCAATAAATAGGAGACTTAGACAGCAAACAATCACAATTTCAGACATTTGCAAAAATCAAAGGAAACAAACTGAAGGTATTCTACATTGAATATATTGAATAAATTTAATAAATAGTAAATACGACCATTAATGGGGAGTAACTTGGGAAGTGCCAAATCTAAATCAAAACTGAATAGGTATAGTTTTTAGTTTTAAGTTCTGGAAATGAATTATGGTTAAATTAGTATTTCGACCAAATTAAATAGAACAAAAAAAATAGTCAAATTCGATTGAAGTTTCTGAATTGTGATTACAATTTGGACGCCGAGAAAACTATTTAAAAGGAAAAGGTGAGATGTGAAAACAAGTACAGAAACATAGAACTCATCCAGTGTTAGCCGAACTGAACAAATCGGGGTTAATTCAATTAGATTTTTCAAAACTTTTGGTTTGGTTGTCTATTTCATTCTATATAAAGAACCAATCATTTCAGTAAATACTTCTCCAAAACTGACAGAAACTATAGTTTTCATTACTAAGATTTAGCTAGTCCTAGTTATGACTTTGGAAACTCATTTGAAAGGCGTGGGAGAGTACATCATAAAATAAATACTATATATCATAACTCATTACTACCATCCCATAAATTTCCAAAACTGACAGAATCTATATAGTTTTCATCCCTAAGAATTAGTTAGTCCTAGTTATAAACTTGGAAACTCATTTGAAAGGTGTGGGAGAGAACTACATCATAAAATAAAGACCATACATCATAAAATAAATACTACCATCCCTCTACTTGACCAGAGTTATTATTATTATTTTATTGTAATCATGCATTGTTTTGTTCCGAAGTAAATCATGGGGCGGTTCGTCCTATTCAGATATTCACGACCAAGAAACACTGGATTCTCTTTCGGGTAGGTTGAAAGGAGAAGGAAGGCTGGAATGCCAACAGGCGTCTATTATTGAATTCACCCGACCCGATAGTACCCCATTTTTGGAACATCCAGTGCCAAAGTCACTGAATGGGTAAGTCACCATTCCCTAAAACGGACTATGTAATGGACTTTCCTTAAGAATAAATGAAAGGAGGCAAATTGGGGCATACAAAAATAATGCCCAAAAAGCGGAAGCCCAAAACAGCACCAAAACACCTAACACAAAAAAAAAAAAAAAAAAA